CCATGGCATTGACGAGCTTCTGCTCTCAATGTGTTCGGGTCATTCATATGAATACCATAAAATTACGCCCCTTCATGATCCTAAACCACCACTGCAAACCTTGTTCCTCTATTTTTCATAATCGTGAATTCGACATTCAACTTGAAGTTTGTGTACATCGATGGTTTCCATCTTTGCTCTAGAATCCTTGGTGAATAAGTGATAAAATGTTGATAATCAATGTAAACCTCTAACAATTGCTTGCCTTTCTCATCCTCTCTCATTCTTCAAGCTTATTTTTTCCATAACAAATGTTCCTTTAGTCCGGTATAATCTAGATAAATAAGAAATCGACCGAGATTTTAGTTTGATTTGGGTACAATCACTTTTCACATGTTAGATCTTCTCCTTTGTGAATTCTTCATGTAGAGGGCTATATCTCCTGACTCTTCTCATCCACCCACAGTCTCGGAAAAATATGCTCATTAGTCCCTTCAAGATTGCAAAAGGGAACCTTCACTTCCTTTTTGCATGTGATCCACAATATCACGCACTCTTGGGAGTATATTGTGCACCCATTTTCATTTAAAGACCTTAACCTTAGGGAAAATGTTCAACCTCCATACCCTTTTCTAATCAATCAGAGTGTATACTCTCCTACCTCTTCTTCATTGCATTTTCACCACAACTTGTACGTCGATTTGACAATATAATGACATGATTTCTCTTAGCTACACAAACATTTTCGTCTGGTTGTCTTTGAATAATGTTCTTATGAATATTAGTAACATTTTTAGGGTTGAATAAGTAAGTTGAATGTCATTTCTCCACGTACTTGTTTTCAAATCAATTAACTTTGCAACTGAAGTCGAATTACCAATCAAGGATGCCAAAGATGAGACTTTAAACTTGTCTATATTTAGAGCTAAACAATCTTACCATGTTATCTACTTTCCTTCCATTCCTTGTCCTATAATGAATTCTCTTTCGTAGCAATTCTTTTGTTGCCATTAACCCCACTATAAGTAGTTTGGATTATAGCTTTCCTCTCCCTCCAAAATGTCTCATTCATAACTTTTGCCACTATTTGAATTAAGGGCTTCCATTATTTTCTATAGCTACTTACATAAGATAGTGGATTAAAACTTTGCAAGTCTCGAAAATCCCCAGCCCACCACTCTCTTCCTATTTTTGTCCCCACAAAAATTGGAGATGATACCCTATATCTCTTGAATTACTCACATAGGTATCATAAAAAATGAGATGGCAAAAGTAGTATGTGCTTGAGCTACCGATTTAATAAGTGCTTCCATTCCTGCATTCAATAACAACTGTTTTCCCAAAGTTTTACCCTTTTCCTCACTTTGTGAACTAACTAACCAAACAAAGCATCACATATATTTGTTTTCCCTCCATTCTTAGTTCTATAACGAATTCCATTTCATAGCAATTCTTTTCTTGACATTAACTCCATGACAAGTAGTTAGGATTATAGCCTTTCTCTGCCTCTCGAATGTCTCATTCACTACTTTTGCCACTAGTGAATCTGGGCTTGCATTATTTTTCATAGCTGCTTATATATGAGAGTCCTTTAAAACTTCTAAAAACCCCTAGTCCGCCACTCTTCTTTGGTTTACACAGCCTCCGAATTAGGTTAATGAGTTTTTCTCTCTGCCTATTTTTGTCCCCGCAAAAATTGGAAATGATACTCTATATATCTTGTATTACTGCCATAAGTATCATGAAAAATGACTTGACAAAAGCAGTATGTGCTCAAACTACCAATTTAGTAGGTACTTTCTCTTCTACATTAGATAACAACTTGATCTTCCAAGGTTTGACCTTTTCCCTCACTCTGTAACTAACTAGTCGAACACAAATTCCTTTTTTTTTAACCCACAATGGTTGGGAGTCTTAAGTATGTCACATGGTGGTCAACATACACACTCTTCATTCCCAGAACATCAACGATTCAAACAAAGTAGCAATTTTCTCTCAGGAACTTAAAGTCTCAATGACATTCCACATTATCGATGCTTGAGAGGATTTATGTGGTGAATTAGTGTCATACTTGTTGGGCAAAAAAATTGGTTTTCTCAATCACCACTATAGGAAGAAGATTCTCAAACTCATTGCACTTCCAACCTAGGTTCGGATTCCTGAAGTCAGCAAGACATTCGACATCATTGGTCGTTGGAACTTCTCGTGTGGCTAGCTCCAAAAGAGATTTCTACAAAGCCTAATTGTCCAACCAAAAATTAGTTCGCTGACCATTATTAACATTCATGCAAAAACCTTCGTGCAAAAAATACGTGTTATAGCTTAGAACCATCCTTGGAAAGAAAGACCAACTTCCAAAACTTATCAACAATCGTTTTCTCAATCCTTTACAATAAATATAATTATTGTTCTTTCTATATCATACATAATGTTAAATTTTGTTACTTTTTTTTTTGCCATATGTAGCCATGGCTTTCACGAGCTCCTGTTCTTAATGTGTTCGGGTCTTTCATATGACTACTAGAAAAAACGCCCCTTTTCGATCCCAAGCCACCACTTCAAACCTTGTTCGTCTATTTTTCATAATCGCGACTTCGACACTCAACCTGAAGTTTGTGTCTGTCGATGTTTTCCATCTTTGCTCTAGAATCCTTGCTGAATAAGTGATAAAATGTTTATAATCAATGTACGCCTCCAACGATTGCTTGCCTTTCACATCATCTTCATTCTTTAAGCTTCTTTTTGTTCTATAACAAATGTTCCTTTGGTTCGGTATAAACCAAATAAACAAGAAATCGGCCGAGATTTTCGTTCGATTTGGGTACAAATTCACTTTTCACATATTAGATATTCTCCATTTGTGAATGCTCCACCCACAGTCTCGAAAAATATGCTCATAAGTCTCTTCAAGATTGCAAAAGGGAACCCTTCACTTCCTTCTTGCATGTGATCCACAATATCATGCATTCTTGGGAGTATATTGTGCACCCATTTTCATTCAAAGACCTTAACCTTAGGGGAAATGGTCAACCTTCATAGCCTTTTCCAGTCAATCAAAATATATACTCTCCTACCTCTTCATTGCATTTTCACCATAGTTTGTACGTTGTTTTGACAATATAATGGCATGATTTCTCTTAGCTACACAAGCATCTAGTTGTCTTGGTATAATGATCTTATGAATATTAATAACATTTTTAGGGTTGAATAAGTTCGTTGAATGTCATTTCTCCATGTCCTAGTTTCCAAATCAAATAACTTTGCAACTGAAAGTTGCGTCCCCAATCACCGAGGTCGGGGATGAGACTTTAAACTTTTCTATATTTAAAACTAAAAAATCTTACCATATATCTACTTTCCTTCAATTCCTACTTTCCTAGTCCTATTACGAATTCTCTTTGGTAGAAATTCTTTTGTCGCCATTAACCTCACTATAAGTCGTTTGGGTTATAGCCTTCCTCAGCCTCGAGAATGTCTCATTCATAACTTTTGTCACTATTAAATTAAGAGCTTGCATTATTTTCCATAACTACATACATAAGAGGGCCGATTAAGACTTCGCAAGTCTCGAAAATCCTCAACCCACCACTCTCTTCCTTTTTTGTCCCCGCAAAAATGGAAGATGGTACTCTATATCTCCCGAATTACTCACATAGGTATCATGAAAAATGAGATGGCAAAAGTAGTATGTGATTGAGCTACCGATTTAATAAGTACTTTCTACCCTGCATTCAATAACAACTTGTTTTTCCAAAGTTTTACCATTTTCCTCACTTTGTCAACTAACTAGCCGAACACAACTTTCTTTTTTCCTTCCCACAATGGTCGAGTCTCCTAAGTGTTTCACATGGTGGTCATAACTCTTCATTCGTGGAACATCAATAGTTCAAACAAAGTAGCGAACTCTCTCAAGGAGTTGGAGTTTCAAAATGACCTTCCACATCGTCGATGCTTGAGAGGATTGATGTGGTGAGTTGATCTTATAAGCCGAACTTGTGGTGAACTGGTTGTTGGGGGTACGTACTCTCCTGAAAGAAGTGTGTCATTATCGTTGGACAAACGGTCAATCATAATTATTGATTTGATCTTGCCGCTCACCACTATAGGAAGAAGATTCTCAAACTCATTGAACTCCCAGTCCAGGTTAGGATCAGAGAAGTCATCAAAACATTTGGACCGTTGGTCGTTGGAACCTCTCATGTGGCTTGCTCCTAAAGAAATACACGTGAAGTCTAAGTGTCCAATCATAAGTTAGTTCGACGGCCGTTATGAACATTCATGGCAAAACCTTTGTGCAAAAATCACGTGTTATAGCTCCAAGCCATCCTTAGAAACAGAGGCCAACTTCCAAAACTTATCACCAACGGTTTTCTCGATCCTTTGCGATAAATATAATTATAGTTCTTCCTAGACAATGCAACATATTAAATTTTGTTACGTTCTTTTCCATAAACATAATTATAGTTCTTTCCATACAATGTATAATGCTAAATTTTGTTACTTTCTTTGCCATAAATAAATATAATTATAGTTCTATCTACTCAATCCTTCATACTAAATTTTGTTGCCTTTTTTTTCCAAAAATTTAATGATACTTCTACCTGGATAATGCACCATATTAATTTTTATTGCATTGTATGAAGACTAGATGATTACAAAACCCATATACTCTTTAACCGAAATAGCAAACTTGTTAAATTTCACACACACCATGCCAAAAAAAAATATATATCTATCTTTTTTACTATGCCTACAAAATCATAAATTTATATGAGTTCCTTAAATATTCGTTTATGAAATCAATTTTTTTACCAATGAATCTAAAATGTTAGGCAATTTAGTTCCACCTCCTCTACATTTCCTTATAGTTAAATTTCCCTTTACAACCGTACAATATTCGGTCCTTCAAAATCTTTGATATGAATGAAATGCCATGCATGTACACCTCCATACACCTAAAAAATGGTAACAAGTAACAACATTGACTATATATTCAAGTGATTGTCACCTTTGTGTAAATCAAAATCATCCACCATTGTTCTAGCACTTAACACATCTCTCTTTCTCCACCCAAAAAACCATGTCCGACAACAACAAATCCAAAAGGCCATGTTTTGGCCCTCCTTCCTCCGGCGCTTCATCGAGTGAACGGGCTATCGTACCTGCACCCTCGTCCGAACAGTTATCCCTAATCTGTCACTCCTGCGAGGCGGTTTTCACAACCATTCAAACCCTCATCGACCACGTCAACACCCATTCTCCTCACCACTGCCGCCACCTCGCCGCCTCCGTCCCCAACCTGAGAAAGCGCAAAGCGGCCGATGACGGCGCCACGTCATCATTTTTGTCGCCGCCGCTACTACAACCACCACCACCGCCTTCTGCCGGGCGCGGGCAGACCCCGGCTTCCCACCGCATCAGCCGCTCCATCCACTCTTTCGCGCTCTCCCCGCCTTCCTCCGGTCGTCTTTCCACCCAAACCGCTGGTCTGATCCAGCGTTGCTACAACTATTACGTGGCTTCTAATTCGTCCTTGTCACGCTTTGATCAACCGACGTCGTCTTCGTCATCGTCACCAACCCCATATCATACTATCAATGATTTCAAGTCTGCTTACCAACGGGGAGGATTGATTAGGACATTGGAAGAGCGAATTCGGGCGCCTTATACGAGGCCGTTTCTGCAGCGGATGGAAGGTAGGCCGTGGCGGCAGGCGGGAGTGGTGGTGGTGGACGTGGAGAAGGAAGACGAGAGGGACGATTTGGACCTCACCTTGAAGCTTTGAATATTGGTCTTTGTGGTTTGATTATTGTTTCAGTCGTAACATAGTTTGTGATTTAATTTTCCCATTGAGAGAAGACATAGTGATGCTTTCATTACTTTGTAAGCTTTGTTTTTCAATTGTATTTTCAATGCATAATAATAAATATTATCTCCATTTCGTTAATTTCGAGTTGATTAGTTATGACGAATGAGCGGTTTATCGGTATTGTTGTTGACTTCTGATTTAGATATCACATGTTCGAAATTTATGGCGAAGTTCTATATCTTTTCTCGTAAATTCATTTGATTAATATGTAAAAAAAAATTATTTGTTGTTTGGTAGATTTTCGTATAGCATGTTTAATGCGTATATAGTTAGTTGTCTTTGGTCTTTTTCATCCTCGGGTCTTTTTATTGTTGGGTTTCCGTACAAACGTGAATATTGAACAGATATTACTAAGTTCAATAAAAGGAAAATGATTGTTTTTTATGCAGCTTTTATCCCTAACCTGTGTATAATGAAGAAGAAAAAATTTATTTGAAAGCTTAGAATTAGATGTATAATATCTTTCGATGACATGCTGATATTTGTTTCCATTATGTTCAACACATTTTAAGACAATAAAATAAAATATTTGGCGAGACTTTAAACAACGTGAAGCGCCAAAAATGGAATGGAAATTATAGCCTTTTGTGCATATCCTCTTTTGAACTTGTGTCAAAAGAAAGAAGAAAGGAAATATGAGTATGGTAATGATAGGGTTAATTGCATTGTTGGTCACTGAGATTAAGAAAAAGTTTAAGTTTGGTCATTCGAAATATTTAAATTTATTGATGGTATTTCAGTTTACTGAAATCGTTCACGTTTGGTCACTCTCCGTCCAATTCCGTTAACTTTGACGGATGTGGCTGTCAACTCTCAAAATTGACTGTTAACTTAGTGACGTGAGAATTAAGAAATAATAAGTAAAATGTTCAACTCATTTTTACCATAAAATAAATAAATAAAATAAAATAATTATAATTTTGATTTTGTAATTCATCAACGCCGTCGCCGTCTCCGAGACCCCTCACCTCACTCCTTCTCACTTCTCAGATAGCCACCGGCCTCATGTCCTTGCTCTACCGCTACCTCCCTTTCCCCGTCATCCGCGGCGTCCAGCTCTCCCAGGGCCTCTCCTTCGCCTTCTCCGCCGTCAAGTACATCCAGTTCAATCAAGATTTTGTCGCCTCCAAAACCACCACAGCAAGGTCCGTCCTGCCTCGGCCTTGGCCTCATCCTCGCCCTCTCCGCCCTCCTCTTCCTCGTCCTCACCACCGGCTCCGGTTCCGTCGGCGGCTGCGGCTTCAACACTTCCAGCGGTGAAACCAGATCTCCCTGTCGGGTCGCGAATCGGATCCGGATCCTCTCCTCAATCCCCGCCGCGCTGAGGGTAACGTGGTGCAGGATTTTTCACGTTGTTCCTGATCACCGTCGTCTCGTTCATGACCACTCCTATGGCGTGGTCGAATAGAACCCCCTTCTCGATCCTCGCCGCCGGGTGAATGTCGACGGCAAAAACGTCGGAAACCCGGGACTGCAGCGCTAGAGCCATCGGCCGCCGGGATTGCATCCACAACTTGTGAGCCACTTGATGCGCCTGAGAAAGAAACCAACATTTTACCCAAACAAAGAACAAAATTGGAGTCCCCGATTTTTCTTTGGATTCATTCATACGACAGGGCCAACAATTCGAAGAATTACCTGACAAGTGATGAAACCCTTGTAATTGAGGAGGCCGTGCGAGACGATTTTTCTATGTGCAATTCAATTTGATAATTATAATATTATTTTATTTATTTATTTTATGATAAAAATGAGTTGGACATTAAAATGGATTAAATTTTATTTTATTTCTTAATTGCCATGTCACTAAGTTAACGGTCAACTTTGAGAGTTGACTGCCACATCAGCTTAAGTTACGGAGTTGGACGGAGAGTGACCAAACGTGAACGGTTTCAGTAAACTAAAGTACCACCAATGGATTTAAATATTTCAAGTGACCAAACTTGAATGTTTTTTGTAATCTCAGTGACCAACCATGCAATTAACTCGGTAATGATATGTCATCCTGCGATGTGTAAATGCTTGTTTACGTGACTTCGAAGACCGTTTGAGAAATCGAAATGAAATATCTAGACATAATATATTTGTACGGTCATCTTTTTCATAGAGTCATGAAGATCTTCCTTTTTCATGTCTATAGTGTCACTGGAGGTTGCTGCTCTTATTCTGGTATCGTGAGTTAATGACGCCCACTGATTTATAATTATACAAGGATACGATATATGGTATATATTTTTCATGAATTTGTAATATTATCTCACATTTCATGCAAATTTAAAATTACAAATCCATCAAATCACAAATTCAAAACCTTCAAATCCGTAAACACAAATTTGATAACCGTAAACTGTTAGTATCCAAATAAATTACCACTACCCGCCACATACCAAACCAGACTGAGCCCTACCGGTACAGAATAGTTAACGAGCCTGAAAAGCCCAAATGGGGCAGGAGGCCCAATTTTGCGCTCCAGCAGTGTCAGATATTTACGACAATGGCGCCGCTTCGCTTCGGCTGCCGCCTCTGTTTTAATTTCAGAACTCCTGCGCGACGGAATACAGTTTCGCGTGGCAGCTGCTTTAAGAAAGGAAGGGCCTAGGGTTCTACCAAAAATAAAAGAGGAAGAGCTTTGCCAATTGCCACTGCTGCGTTCGTCTCTAACTCTGTGACGCAGCGAGGAGAAGAAAAGAATGGAGGATCAAGGAAAAAGGAAGAAAGAAAGGCGTGGAGGAAGTGCGAGCAAGGAGCTTTTGCGGCTGGAAAAGGAGGATTCAGCCACGGCCGGGTCGGCTTTCGAGTCTTCACTTCTCTTCTGCGGGAAGGATTCGAGCATTTCTCTACCTAAAACAACTCCTTCCGGTGGGAAGCTTATGACTGCTCCAATCCCTGAAAGCCAAGGTAACGTTACTTTTGAATGCTTCATTTTATTAGAATTCAGTTTCATTGATAGCGGAGTCATCAGGGAAAGGAATGGAAAGGTTCAGTTCTGCGGTTTATGGCTTGTTGCGATGTCAGCTGTTCTGTTTATTTGGCTACAGACCACAGTTTTGAGTTGACTACCGCTGTGTCAGTTTTGACTTATGGATTTCTATTCTTGGATGAGTCTTTCAGCTTGTTTTCTGTACCATTGTGGGGATTTCTGTGATATAAAAGTAAAGCTAAGTCCATACGCTGAACTTCCATTTGATTATGGTATCTCTATTTACTCAGCATTCTTGGATAATGGCCACAACTGAAATCTGAATGCTGTTGTTTTGGCGGTGGATCAAGTTAGTTTATTAAGTTTGTGAAAGTCCCATTATGTTGTAGGCTACATCTTGGGCGGGAAGGCATGTATGTCCACAAGTGATGGGGGTGGAACAATGGGAGTTTGCATTTCGGTGCTAGGAGAACCTGATGTTCTTTCTCTTTTGGTCTGGTTTGTTTCATGCAGGGTGTCTCAAGTATTTTCTTAGCCCCTTTTTGCTTTTCTTCTGTCTTTTCTCTATAATCACTCTAGTGATACAGTCCTGGTGTATTGCTCTTTGAATAATGCCTTGTTTTCATTCATAAAAAGAAATCTAGTGGTGAAAACTGGGGTTTAATGAACTTGGTGTTTTAGCTGAATGTTGAAGCTTTATATAAGAAATTGTTAACCATTGTACAAATATTGCTGCAATAGTGTTTGGTTTCCAGAATATTAGTGGACTCAAAATAGAGCCATATAGGTAGCGAAAGGTCTGGTAATGTAGATTCAGCTCTTAGATTGGTGAAGAAGTGATGGTCCCTCTCTAGTGTTATTCAGTCTTTAACATACCGGAGAACTGCTGGACATAATCTTATGTGTGACTGTGTTAATGTTTCTTCTTCAGAGTTAATTGACAGATCACCCAGCATTACAAAGACTACCTATTCTTGCATCTCAGATTGTTTGATAGTTTTGCATCTATTTTGATTTGGATTTCGAGGATGTGAATTCACAAGTTAAATTAATGGGTCACACATTCAGGAATTGTAATGAATGGTCACAGTTTCTACTAGTGGCTTGTACTCGACTCACTTATCCGATACTTAACACCCAGTACCTTTGATTTTCATGTAATGCAGTGCTAGGAAGAGTTAAAGATCTACTCGAACTCATAGCAAAACAACCAGATCCCAAGGTTTGTTCACTTATTGCTGAGGATCCACCTCGTCTGAAGTTCCAAATAGAATAACCCGTTTCTTGTTTGTGGTTAAATATGTAGGATAGTTCTGAGAACTGTGATATTGAAGCACTCACAGGAAATGAATCCGAAGTTATTGAAATGGTAATGTGATATCTGTCTTTGTCCGTGATTATATCAAATCAATTTTTATCTTAATGATATCATTTTGGTGTCTTGTTTTTTCTAGGATTTGATGCTAGGTGTAGCAGAGCTTCACAATGAGAAAGCTGTGGCTGCTGCTGAATCTGCCTTGGCTGGAGCCCTACCATTGATAACATTAGATGGCAGTAGCAGCAGTGAGTCAGACTCAGAAGATTCAAGTGATGATAGTGATGATGGAAGTGATAGGGGCGGGGCTGATGATCTGGGTAGTGTGGGAAATGATAATATCAGCAAAGACACTTCACCAAATGACGCATCCAAGCTCGGAAGAGGTGGTTCAACTGAAATTGTCAACAAAAGGAGGCTAAAGAAGCAGCCTAAAATTATTGAGATGCTTTGAAGCTCATTCTTATAGGTATTGCTTTGCTTTGAATTCGGCTTTCTTCATAGTGATATCTCAATATGAATCTTTTGTGTCACCTGGTCACGGCACCATAACTTCTAAATCATCTCCCTCCACCAATCTGCTAGTAACTTTCTGATCTTCGCCGTACTCTGTTTATCTGCTAAGTGTAGCATTTGACAGATCTAATGGGACTTGATCTTCTATTACTATTTACTACACAGCTTGAATTGGATTAGGCCCAGAAGCTTATCATGCATGCCCTTTCTTCGCTTGTCTTAGCTGTAACAGATCATATTTGTTATCATGTTATCGAGTCCGGATTATTGTTGCGTTCAATCAGTCTATTTCCTCTATTGCTTTTCGTTGTAGTCAGTCTAATTCCTCAATTGCTTTTCGTTGTAGTTCAATGCTGGTAGTGGCTTGGGAGAATGGATACTGTGGAAGATGGAAGGAGAAAGCATGTTGCAATATGTCGCAATTCGCATGATGCTTGGCGCAGTTTTAACTAGTTATGATCATTAAATTTTGGTAATAGTAGTTACCAATATTCATGTGTAGTCTGTCATCCCTGTCTTGGCCTCTTTCAAGTTCCATGGTATCTGCTGTAAAGTTTATGCCAACTAAATATGGAGCCTAATGGTAAACATGTAAAAATTTCAAGGTTCAGGGAACCGTTCCGGAGGTTATACTTATACCGGAAAAGTGAACGGTAGGGTATTTTGTACTAAAATCGTGATTGAACCGTTTTCTACCGCTAAAACCACCTATCGGTTTAGGTTCAATATCTGGTATTTCCGGTCCGATTGGCCGGTACCGTAGGGTTTTCTAAACCTTGAAAAATTTGCCGTGTAAAAAGCTTAATATAGAGCTTAATGCTTAACAAACTAACTTACTATTAGGGCTGTCAGTCGGTTTTCGGTTAACCAAAAATTCGATTTTCGGTTTAACCGAAAATTTGATTTTCGGTTAAACCAAGCAACCCCCTAGCACTACCGACTGGCGCGTTTTACACGGTCACTGCCTTACTGACCGGTCGGTTATCGGTTATAACCGCGGTTAGCTGAATTAAATTTAAAAAAATAAATAAAAAAAAAAGAAATCGCCACACATTTTCGTCCTTATCTTCGTCTTCTTCTCGCCTCACCCAAAAAGAAAACCCACGTCTTTTCTTCTCCCCTCTCTCTGTCTTGCCTCTACTAACCGTCTAATCTTCCATCTCCAAGCCTCTTCTTCTCCCCTCTCTCTCCCAACCAAAACCATTCTTTTTTTCTCTCTCTCAGCCAAATTCAATTCCCATTCTCTTCTTCTCTGAACACATGGAGATATGGACAAAGACCACTTTTCTTTTCCTTCTCACTTTCGCGCCCGCGGTTCATCTGCTCGGGGACGGCGACGACGGATGGACGGTAAAGAGGAAGGATGGAGGCGGCAGTGCGAGGCGACGCGATGAGGACGGGATCTGGGCAGCGGCGAGGAAGGGATCTAGACGGGTGCGACGCGATGAGGAAGGATCTGCATGGCGGTGAGGAGGAAGGCGGCGGCCGTGAGGCGACGAGGAAGGGAGCTGGGCGGCGGCCGTGACTTGTGAGGGTGAGGGTCTGATGAGGGGATTATAGGGTTTCAGAGTGGGGTTAAGGGTTTTATATGTCGTTTTTTTTTTTGCAGGGATGGCAATATATGAGGGTTGGTCGGTTTGGGTCGGGTTTTTCGGATAACCGCGGTTAATAATCGTCGGTTACTCGGTTATCCGAAGCTTTTTATTCTCCTTCGTGCACCGACCGAAGTAATTTTAGTCTCGGTTTTCGGTTAGCCGAAAACCGGTCAGTTCGGTTGTAACCGACGGTTATCCGCTAACCGGAAACCGAACTGCCAGCCCTACTTACTATAAAGCTTATGACATGATTAGATGTTTTTTCGTTGGTTGAAACGAAGAGAGATGACAGGTTGAGAGAAACGAAATGGAGCGGAATAAGAGGTGAAGGTCAACAACCGGGTACGGTGCTCACAATCGATTTGTGAGAAATTGTTGACCGTGATTATTATGAGTTGAATTCGAATCGGACTGTTGCACCCTAGCCCCAATCACGTGTCCAAAATATTCCAAAACCACAACCCTAGAGCACGGTTAAACTGTGCCGAAGTTAAATCAGTTTCGATCCATATTTCTTGTATTGGGCTTTAGTTTTTTCATGAATCTTACTACTCAAATATTAGTGACCCAAGCCCGCAGGTAATTGAGAAGGAAAAACAAGACGAAGAGTGGGCAGCATCTCTTCATCTTCTCTTCCCCAATTCTGCACATAGCTCTGCAAATAGCTTCTACCTTACCAACCCCTCGAATCTCTCTCGTGATTCATTTTTTACCTGCATAGACCGGCGATTCGTTATCTTCCCTAACCGAACTGGACTGACTTCACGGCTACGTGTTGTATGGTTTTCTTGGCGTGGTGGAGCCCTCCACGTGGAGCTTCTTTCAGTGCGTGGAGGCTGTTTGTGAAAATGTCAAGCCGAGAGAATTATCGCATACCGGCGGGAGATTTCAATCGACCTAGCTTCTTAGGAGAACTTCAAGCTTGGTGAAAATTCAAGTGAAAGAAGTGAGCAGCTAGTCGAATTTCAGAACAATGTCGTACAGTCCGAGGCTTGTTTCGAGAAGTAATTTGTGGCGCACTTTTATCAGACACTCTTCCGTGTCAACTGTGACAGAGCATCCCAGGAAGCTAAAGAGATCTGAAAGGAAGCCGTGGGTGACGACTGACGAGTGTGAATGAGCTCAAGCGGAAGGCGAGACTAGAGAGGGAAGAGAAACAATCGGCGCGGGAACAAATCTTGCGGCCGCCTGAGAATGGGCTATTGGTCAAAGAACTGATCCCTGTTGCTCATCAAGTTTATGCCGCCACAGCTGAATTGTTGAGTTGCGCCTCAAATGTTGCGAAGACCTTAGCTTTGTATTCCTGCAGGTAAAATTGTTCACAGATGATGCATGGTGGGTGAATTTCCCTTGAGAGTTTTCTTTGTGTGTGATCCCAACTTCTTTATTTATGCAGTGTTTGTGGAGAAGTTCATGTAGGCCATACTCCTCACAAGATTAGGACTTGTGACGGAGTGGGCAGCCTGAAGAACAAAGAGCACAGATGGATGAAGGGAGGTGTTGAACAGATTTTGCCTCTAGTCGAATCTTTCCATCTGTATGACAGACTTGGAAGAGCTGTGTCTCATGATGAGCAGCTCATAGTCGACCGGATTCCGGCAGTTGTTGAATTGTGTGTCCAAGGAGGTGTCAACATTCCAGAGTACCCAACAAGAAGAAGGACCTTCCCTGCCTATAGTGTTGCTGGTAGAATTATAGATTTCGAGCGCAGGTTCCCCAAGGAAGAAGACACACCAGGCAAAGACATCAATACTAGTGGCTTTTGGGAGAAGAGGAAATACCCAGTTGAGGTGACCGAGCCTGCAGACGCCAAATATGTCAACTTAGGAGGTTTTCCTTCCTAGTTCTTGACTTCTCATTTGTTTTCCATTTCATATTTCGAACTGTCCAAGACTCTCTCGAGTTTGGGACATGGGTGTGTGTTATGTGTCAGATACGGTATTTATTCATTTACTGCTTCCCGCTGCAGAGGTTGCGATTCGAGGAATGGAATCATGGGAGGTAATGCGATCAGGGATCCGGAAACTCATAAGTGAGTATGCTGTTCATACTTGCGGATATTGCCCTGAGGTTCAAGTTGGACCCAAGGGTCACAGAGTAAGGAACTGCCAAGCTTTCAAGCACCAGATGAGGGATGGTCAGCATGCATGGCAGGAGGCTACTGTTGATGATTTGGCTCCCCCGGTCTATGTATGGCACGTTCGTGATCTCAATAGCCGCGAGCCTATGGCAAATGATCTGCGGAGGTATTATGGCATGTTGCCCGCGGTCGTGGAACTTTTCGCCCAGGCTGGTGGAAGGGTGAGCGGGGATTGCGCTAGTTTGATGAGGGAAGACGTTGCAGTGCCTGAACTGGAAGAAATGAAGCTAGCAGTTTAAAGAATTGAGCTGAACCTGGCTGCGTTCTGGGTATATTCAGGCGGTGGAAGTGATAGGAAGATGGTGATGACAATGGTAGAGTGGGAAATGACGATATCAGGAGAGACGCCAGTTGTCATTTGGTTATTTTTGGCTTGGTCTATTTGTAGACCAAATCAAAGGCTATCCGCACATATATGCCATCAAGCGAGAATTAAGGGCTACCGCCATTGCCAGAGTCATCTCCGAATTTCCCTTGCTATTAAATTACCATTCAAACAATGGGTGATCGAGTAATCAGAGATCAGGCTTCGTGAGAAGATCAAGATGGGAACCCCTTTCTTAAACCAGATGAAGAAGCAAGCATGTTCTTTCCTTCAAGACAAGTACAAAACTGCAAGGCTGGCTCTAACCGACGTTACCCCGATAGAATTGTGAGCCCTCTGCATCTGCAATGCCAATGTATGCTCTTTCTTTTGACACGACGAGTTTGGTCGTGATTGTTATATATGTTCATCTTTGTGGTCAGGCTGACTGAGGAAGCAACAAACAGCGACCCATGGGGTCCTGATGCTAAAACCATGACTCAAATCGCCGTTGCTTCGTTTGGTGTCGATGCTTATTGGAGAATCATCGACATTCTTCACAAAAGGTACGTACATACGCTCGAAGTATATGGATTTTCCCCAAAATACTGAACTTTATGTTAAAAAAAATCCCAGAATACCACATACTAAAAATTACCAAAATACACAAGTTTGGTGTGGTTCGCTCGAGTATCAAGCGAACTATGTATCTGGTCGCTGGAGATCGGAGTGAACCACTCTAGATTGCGGCAAATGGGATCAGTTAGGTGTAGATAACGGAGCGTAAAGTCGTTTGAAGTTTCAACATATGTTAGGTGTAGACATCGGTGATTTGTTTAAAGATTTTTGGGGCAAGATCACTGGGCTCATCAGTGATCTGGTGGATCGCTCCTGTATGCCTCAATATGGGCTTAGTTTGCTTAGGTTTGTTGTTATTTTGGGTAGATCGCCCAGTTGTCCTGCGAACACCATCTAGATCACTTGACAATACAGCGAACCAAATAAACTCTAGTATTTTGGAAAATTGTAGTATAAGTATTGTGTTGTGTGAATTTTTAGTGTAAGTATAGTATTTTGGAAAAAGAAAACCACTAGTATGCAGAATCAGTTGCTTTCATTGATCTTATATGTATCACCAACCGGGAACGAACGTGTACGTACACATGAATCTGCAGGCTGGATACGGTAGATTGGAAGCAATGGAGGCAATCCTACAAGACGTTGGTCCTTCTCGAGTTCCTAATGACCCATGGTCCTGAGGAACTCGCCGAAGAATTCCATAACGACATCGACATCATTGAAGACCTTGGCACATTCCAATTCATTGACGACAAAGGGTAAATCAAACTTCTTTCCATGCCGCTACTAAGTTCTTCAGAATGATGAATCATACGTAAACTATGAATGTCACGTCACGTACAGGTTCGACTGGGGAGCCAAAATGCACAAGAGATCCGCCAGCATCCTCGCCCTGCTCCGTGGCGGCGGGACCGCCCTGAGAGAAGCACGCCTCAAAGCCCTCAAGATCTCCAAGGAAATCCAAGGCTTCGGCAGCTCCACTCCTTCTTCCGCCGCCGCCTCTCCGACGTCTTCCGCGGCCACGCCGTCCTCCGCGGTCTCCACCGCCTCCTTCACCACCGCGGGCTCCACCTTCGAGGACATCTGCCGCCTCGAGAACCTCGCCCTCACCACCAACGATCTAGACGACGACGCCGCAGCGGTCGAATTACCCGATGACAACATTAACAATAAAAACATCAACAATGAAAGTCGTGAAGATACTCATAATGGCAATGATCATCCGGTGATCAAGAAGACTCTGCGATTGCGGAGCCACCGCTGGGATTGCTGCGGCGACACAGTTCAGGAAAAGGGCTCCCTTTTGGACGTCGGTGGTGATCACGACGATCGGAAGCCGTCCGATCAGCAAGGGCTTGTTGGCGGATTTTGCGACAAGATGATGATGATGACCACTTCTCCCAAGAAGAACAAGCAGTACTGCGGCGAGAAGAAGAATAATGGTAATTACCATAATAACGGCAACGGGTTCAGGAGCTTTTCGGATGTAGGCAAGTTATTGAAGAGAAGATACCAACGCCAATTCTCTATGGGGTATTGATGAATTCATTATGAAATGAATTGATTGCTATAATATGCATTCTTAACCCAGATGATGATAAGGATGGGAAAGAAATTGAACATTTTCAGTGTGCAATGGTTATATGATCAGCCAGTAGAAAGAAGTACTCTTAGATCAGCTGATTCTATGCTATGGTCTGTAAAATTTGTGAGTAGGATATATTTACATATATGACTGCCAAAACTGTTACATACTTAAATTGGTTAGTCAAACTAGGATGTATTTATAAAATATTATATCCTAACTAACTAACTAACTAACTAACTAACTAACTAACTAAATATGTATATTCAGTTATTCACTATGTTAAAAGTTTTGATTTGGTATCTGTGTTTATACATGTGTAGTGATGAAATATAGTTCACATGGTTAATTGTTTGTTCGAAGTCAAGTGTTTTCTTGGGAAATGAACGTAGTCTTTTTGAGGATAGAAAAAAAAATAGTTATGCATGGTCGGTTTTTTATTTAATCGATAATCAACTATTCGGTTACTGCTTACACTAGAAGTTATTTGAGGTTATCGATAATCACATTGCTACATTGTAACTGGTTAATAGTTTATTCACAAACCAACTTACTGGATATCACCATACTTGTATGGAATGTAAGAGAACGTTGGAGGTAGACTTTTACAATGGACTGATGGTCCGATCCATTGGTCTCGTACCTCTTTCTTATATATTCATGACATTTCCCCCCTTATATATGTGGCATAATTTAGTGAACTGGAAGCAACCTGTTCTTTTTTTGGGTTTCATATATGACAACATTTATTTTTGTTAGACCAACTTCAATCCAAAGTCCAAATGTAACTTTAAGATAACCATCATAATCATTGTTCTTAGTTTATTAACATCTTCTTTGCCCGTGTTGAGTCTTGAATCGAAGCAGCTTCATGATGACTCACTAGACCCTGTTATGCGTTTTTATTTCATGAATTTGTCGGGTCTATTATCACTGCCTACGTAACGAACTAATTTGCATAATTCTGAATCAAAGTAAACTGCAACATAAATTGATGACTAGTCCAACGGTTTTGATGGGTAGGAATTGCTAAAATTTAAATATTAATTGGTGACCCAGATTTTTTTTATTATGATGGATCATGAAAATCTCTTAATGTGGATGGACTGATTCATCAAATCTATCAAAATTTCACTGATATTTGATGATCCATTATAATCCAAATAAAATCCATGTGTTTCCATTTTTCTATCTTTCTGTCTCACCCTTACAACGAGACAACGAGACAAAAAAAAAAAAAAAACTTGCTGATTTTCGTCATCAACAAACAAATGGAAAGTCGGTGGCAAAGCAAATTTGGACACATCCCTTCATTTGGAAGGTAGGATGGCCTCTTGTGGGTCATGGATGAAACCTGAAGGCACAAATAACCCACAAAATATATTGGATGGACTGGTTAGTGGGTTGGGTCATGGATGAAATTTATAGCATCCAATCCAATGGACAAGCCTCAAAATTCGATCTTGACATAAAAGATTAGAAATAAGTTGCTACTTCTTTATCCTCTTTTTCGTGTCTCGATTTTCAATCTCATTTATTTATGTCTATATCGATTTTCAATTTCATTTATTTTTGTCTATATAGTGCAATATTTCTAATTTTTAAAATCAAATTACCATTGAAAGTAATTGTTACTTTCTTTAATTTATTGATTTGTATCATTATCAATAATTATTATCGTTCCAACTAATTTTTTACATATTTTAATGATCATTTAAGATTTTTTTTTATATAATCCAGCTATAGCCTATAGTAGAGAGGAAGGATTCACGATTGCTCTAAATATATTATATTCCTCATTTTCAATCTCTAAATCCAGACTCCCTCCTTACCAGGTGAGATTTACGATTGTCGTCCCGACAATCTTTTATACCAGCACATAATGCTCACTCCAAATATCCAACCTAAATTCAATTCCAAAAGACGTCAATTTAAGTCGTCTTGGAAAAGACCATTTCTTTTTAATTTTTATATGATGTTGGACCAATTCATTCATCATGCAATTCGAGAAATAAGAGAATCATTTTTTTATATTTTTTGGCATAGAAGGGAACCAATCTTTGCAAAGAACAAACGTATTACATTAAAAATTAGCTTAATAATTTGGTTTAGGTCTAAATTTATTTATATGCTTATTTTAAGTTGTTTTTAATTTACAAATCGGTTCTAACCAACGCCACAAGGCTCGAACTTCAGAAGCTCTTCACCTCATATGTCATCTATATAGTATATACCACCGTTAAGCAGTAGCAATCACCAATAACACATGGCATTCTTAAAAGGGAATTTTTTATGATTATGAATCAAATTAGAAGATTGGAAAATTGAGATTTGATGTGACAAATAGCTTAATCTTCCTCTAACATATCAATAGCATTAATTAGCATGCCGACATAAAAATCAAAACAGATAAAAAGTTAATCGTATCGTAAATTTTGTCCTGAACTTACGAAACAACATTCTATATACATAAATTATGTATTCGATCGTTTTTAATTTCACATTTAAAAATTTATTAAAGCACATCACAAGTTTATTAAATTACACCACAATTTTTTTAAAGAATAACAGAAATTTTATAAAGCACATAAAAAACTTATAAAGTAGACCGTCAATTTAATTATAATAGACTATAAGTTTCTGAAGGCATATTAGAAACTTTATAAAGTAGACAATTTTTTTTTAAAGGAGACCAGAAACCTCATAAACTTGAACCTATTTGTAAAATTTAAAAATTTTAGTAATCAAAATATAAGACATAATAATTTTATGTACTAAAATATAATTTTCATAAATATTTTACGACTTATAAATTATATCATTAATTTAATGTTCTAAATCTTAAAATATATTAAGCTTAAATACCTAATTTGAAAATAAAACTCGAATTCATTGAAGTATGAGATGGAGAGAAATGAGCTATTATTAGGGATGACAATTTTGACCTGACCCGTTTTACCCGACCTATTTGGTCTGTTTTAGGGCGAGAGCGGGCATGGGTACTCTCACCGACCCGACCTGCCCTGACCCGTCCCATTCTCGACCCGTCTTGCCTATATTACATGTAATCTTAGTCAAATTACTTAGAAATTTTCTTTTATTACATAATTTAGCTATGATAAGTTGTAAATTAGTGAAAACCTCAATTCTCCAATAATTTAACTACATTCATCATAATATTGTTTGTTTTCTTGGTCTTATAATAAAAATAACGAATATTTCTAATATTTTTCATATAACTTACATACCCATTGAGTCGTGATAAATTATCCGACCTGCCATGGAATGGGTCTGCATAAAAAAGCCTGCCCCGTACATGCACAATTGCAATTCCTAGGCTATTATAGGAGTACTAGAAGGGTGCTAAGTGCTAACACTATCCATTTCGAGGCAGAGAGTTAACCGTAACATTTTATTATTCAAAACACACTTAATAATAAAAATACTTATAACAATAGATTCCAAAGCAGTCTGAGGTTAAATATACTGATTTTAATGCATAGATAAACTAAATCACCTCAGCAGAGCCAATAACGGTAACCTCCGAGGGTATTTTTGTAAAACCTCGTCAGAAACATCCCAAATGTCCTTGTCCGACCCGACCTTCCAACTCCCCAAAACAAACAGTTTTGTTTATTAATTACAGAACTACAATCGTCCAGATTCCGAACTGCCCTTTCTGGTGGGGGTAAATTGGTCATTCAGCATGCTCAATGCCAATTCTACCCTGCTAATCCACTGACCACCGTCGCATTTCCTCGACAACAAACGGTTGGAAATGCCTAATTTACCCATATCCCTCCCTCTTATTTACTTACTAACACACTTTTTTGTTATTAATTCATTAATTTACTATTTGTTGAAAGGGGACACTCATTATTTATTCCTTTTTGTTTGTTTTGGCCCTGTCCTGTACTGTAATCCTAAAATAATAATAATAATAATAATAATAAATAATAAAATTAAAGAGCTGCAAACAAAATACCCACACCCACTTCAACAGGTTGGTATCCAAAGTCTACTACTTCCTTCCTTCCTTCCTTCCACTCTTCCCTCCCACTTTTCTCCATCTTTCCCTCTGCTCTAGTCAAAAATGGCTTTTTGCTCTGCCTTTATCTTCTGAAGCAGCTTTTACCTTATGCTTTGCCTTGCTCTCTTCTCTTCTATCTTGCTTTTGCTGAGCGGAAAGGCTTTGTAGCCCAATGGGTAGTTGAAGCAAACATCTGAAGAAAGCTTTTGCATTTCTCATTTTGGGGTTTTTGACCCCCCTTCCTGGCTTTCTTTTGCTTCTCAGCCATCCCATTTAGGTAGGTAGATACAGATCTCAGTCTGAGAAAAAAAGATAAGGTCTTTGGTGGTGAAAGCGAAAGAAATGAGGTCTTCAACTAGACTTGACTCGGCCGTTTTTCAGCTCACTCCAACTAGGACCAGGTGATTGGGTTCTCTCTACTCCTCAATTGATGTTATTGTTGTGAAAGTTCAGACTTTTGAGATAAAGACAATTTCTTTCTGGGCTTGAAGTAGTAGTTCTGCTTAGCGATTTCTACGTATGAAAAAAAGAGCAGTAAGTTACTGTTTCAGGGTTTTAGCTGATCTGAGCTGGATATTGGACAAAATGGTGAAAGATTGATGTGTATGATGTTTGTTCATATTGGTAGAAGTGTAAAGTTTGGAGCTTTGACTGTTGAATTTGAAGCTTTCTGTTTTTATTTACCGTTGAATGGGGATTGGGGACCATAGGAGGTTATGAATAGTGGGGAGAACTTTGTCTTTGCTTTTCGTTGTGAAATTAATCTGCATTGTTTGTGAATTCCTTCAACTTTTTGTTTGTGGTAGTGATGGAATTGTTTGGTGTGAATATCAGGTGTGACTTGGTCATAAATGCCAATGGGAAGACCGAAAAGATAGCCACTGGCTTGGTGAATCCATTTCTTGCTCATTTGAAAGCTGCCCAAGATCAAATGGCCAAAGGTGGTTACTCGATTAACCTTGTGCCAGACAATGGAAGTGATGCCCCATGGTTTACTAAGGAAACTATTGAGAGGTTTGATGTTCCCCTCTCCAGAAGCACCAATGACAGCTGTTGCTTTTCACTATCTAATCGAATGTGACTGATATTGTGGGCTTCTGTTATCGCTGTTTCTGCAGGTTTGTGCGCTTTGTGAGCACTCCCGAGATTTTGGAGCGTGTTTATACTTTAGAGTCGGAGATTCTACAGATGGATGAGGCAATTACTGTGCAAAGCAGTGGGGACTTCGGGCGTGGCACAGTAAGTTGAAAACTGTAACGAACTCAGAAATGTATGAGAAAAGTCCTGGAATGGAGTCTCACCGTCTTACAATATTTTGCAGGTTGAAGATCACCACATGAAATTTTTAGAACGCAGTGAAGGTACCACCTAGGGAAGATATTGTGCAATATGGTTATATTTGTGTTTTCAATGTGGCAGTTGGACCTTGTTGGAGCCTTGGTGTCCTCTTCATTCGGATGTACAAGTTGCTAAGGAGATTGATATTCTATCTTCTCCTTCTTTTTTTGTATCAGGGGTTCATATTGGAAGATCATGCGTGACATTGACAGGTAGCAAGTCTTTGCCAGATTCCAGTGAAGAGAAAGCTATTGTCCTTTATCAAGTGCGTGACCCATTCTCTCCTCCATTTGTGTGATTCTGCTTTATTGCGTCTCTTTAATTGTCTTTATTTTTCTTGCATCAGCCTGGTACACCTCCTGAAGCGAATGAGCCGCCAGAAGATTCAAAGTATGTGTTTTTTTTTTTGTTTAGCATCCATTAGCTCCAAGAAATTTATATCACCTTTCTGAATATTGCATAAAAATCAAAGCTAGAGTCTTTGTCTGTTTGTAAAACTTTTCAGGTTTATGATAGAAAAGAAGTTGGCTTGTTGTAAATGTGAATTCATATGACTTGATTGCTTGTTTATCCATGAGTTTGTGGTTTAACCTTTGGTGTTCACTGCTTCATTTTTCAGACTCCAGCTTAAGAAAGTTCTTGAGGCACGTAAAACCGTGTTACAGAAAGAGCAGGGAATGGCATTTGCTCGAGCTGTAGCGGCAGGTTTTACTGTTGATCAAATAGCACCTTTGATGTCATTTGCTGAAAGCTTTGGGGCATCTCGAATGAGGCAAGCATAATTCTCTTTGAGAATTGGAAGTCATTTACAGTCTTAAACCATAGCCATGTGATTACTAGCTGATGTTTGACAGGGATGCATGTGTAAAATTCAAGGAGCTGTGGACAAGGAAGCACGAAACCGGACAATGGGTGGAAATCGAAGCAGCTGAGGCAATGTCTGGCCGTCCAGAATTCTCCCTGGTCAATTCATCAGGTATCGTTCTTGCCAATGGAGCCAATGGGATAGGAGGAGCTGAGCATGGTTCAGGTATAATCTTCAAACATAAAAAATTTCTGGAGATGAAATGCATTCCCCCCCATTTTTAATTAAAGGAACTGAAAAGGGATAATGGTGTTCCAGATGAGAATGCCACAATGGATCAACCACTGCCACAACAAGGTCAGCAGGGATACTTTCAAGGCCAGATTCCACATCCCATGTTCTCTCCCTGGCCTGTCAATTCTCCCCCGGGCACATTGCCCGTTGTTCAAGGAATCCCCATGCAAGGCATCCCTTATTATCAAAACTATCCTGGCAACTCCCCTTTTGTTCAGCAACCATATGCATCTGGAGAAGATAACAGAATTAATAATGGTGGTCAACGAGTGAGACGAAGACGACATTCCATGGATTGTGGGGATTCAGGTTATTCTGACACTGCAACATGGGAAGAGGATGCTTCCAGAACAAGATCTCATGATGACACAGAGTTGGACAATCACAATACTTCTGGTAAAGGTGGTAGATCATCATCAGGGAGAAAAAAAAAGTCGGGAGGAACGGTTGTCATAAGGAACTTAAACTACATTACTTCTAATAGGCAGGAGTTCTCAGATGATGATGCATCACAGTCTGCTTCTTCTGGTCCTGATGATGAAGGACGAGGTGGAGACTCTTCTCCAAACAGGGATTATTCAGTGGTCAAACAGAAGAATACTAATAAGGAAGCAGATGATGGACAGTGGCAAGCATTTCAAACCTATTTGCTAAAAGATGCTGATGATGAAGCCGAACGTGAGAATGGAGATATGTTTGCCATGGAAAAGGCAACTCGTAATAAGGGATCAGCTGACGAATCATTGAAGAGGGATAGAAGAACAGGTCAGCTTGGTAATGGCAGAAGGCTTATGGATGCAGAGCTAGATGGTAGGAGGGTTGGATATAGGAGAACAGCTAATGATGATTTCATAGTTGACGGGCAGAGAAATCATTCAGGCTATAATACCGAAGACCCACTTGCTGTGGACATATATGAGAATAGGAAGAAGTCATCACAACAAGACATGGATGATGGTGATTCTTACATAGTTCCATTAAGGTCACCTTTGCAATATCAAGGTGAAAGTACCAAAGGAAGCAATGCTGCTATTGACATGGATTCCGAGTTTATATCAGCTAGGCCAGAAGTCTCTGGGGCCATTGTCAAGTATGAACCGGATGATTTAACGTTGGTGCATGAGCGTGAAACAGAAAGAGGGATGCTTGGTTATGATCCTGCTTTAGATTATGATATGGAGGTCCATGCTGACCACGGCGGTAAGAAAGGTAAGAAGGCAGAGAATGATGTCAATCCAGGCTCTAGAAAATCAGACAAAGGTCCTAGGTCAAAACGTACACCAGATTCTTCAGACAAGAAAAGGACGGTGGGCCCAATCAGAAAGGGAAAGCCTTCGAAGTCAAGTCCATTAGAGGAAGCTAAGGCACGAGCTGAAAAGCTAAGAAGCTTTAAAGCAGATCTCCAGAAAATGAAGAAAGAGAGGGTGCATTTCTCTTGCATCATTCATGAAACATGCATTTCATTTCTGTTCCGAATGAAAATTTCCTGCTTTTAATATTTCAACCCCGTTTTCTTCCCTCTTCTGTTTCAGGAAGAAGAAGAAATGAAACGTCTTGCTCTTCTGAAGCTAGAAAGGCAAAAGAGAATTGCTGCCAAAGGTGGTTCACTTCCTGCTCAGTCAACCCCACTGCAAACCAGGAAATCATTACCGACGAAACTTTCACCAATTTCTCACAAGAGTTCAAAATTCAGTGATTCAGAACCTGGACCATCATCACCTCTACAAAGGTCATCTATAAAACATCTTTCTTCTAGTGATTCTGTGAAGGCCTCGATGTCCAGCAAGTTGAGTACTACCGGAAGCCAATCTGCTGGAAATAGAGCAAGTCGGTCAGTGTCATCTTTGCCCGAGTTGAAGAAGGAAGACAACACTGTAACCACTGATACGAAGGCATCCATGGCAGCACGGATCAGAAGATTATCTGAGCCTAAAGTAATTAGCAGTCATCATGTTGCTCCAGCAAAGCCACGGAAGACTGAACTTGCACCTTCATCTTCAGTTAAGCCAAAGAGTGGTGAGCCAATGGCATCAAAACAAAAACTAGCTAATGGGCCCGAGACCAAGAAGATATCTGCAATTGTGAACCATGATAAAGGCAAAGCTGCATCTCTTCCTGAGCTAAAAACTAGAACACCGAAAGCATCTGATGTTGTTGTCCAGGGGAAAGCGGTAGCTACTGAAACGACACAAGATGGAAATGGATCCAAGTCAGTTATGACTTCTGATGGTTCTGTGGTTGCTGAAGGTGTAAAGAAGTCTTCTTTTCCTACATCGCACACCTCTGAAGAAGATATTGTGAGGGTGCAAATTTCAAACTCTGAGGTGAAGACTGATACGGTGGCAGAAGGAACTAGCCAAGCATCTACTCAACATCAAACTCTGGGACAATCTAGCGCTGATCAGGTTTGTTGTGAATATCAGAGTGTGTTTGTTTAACCTAGTGCTGATCAGGTCTGTTGTGAATATCATAGGGTGTTTGTAGAATAACTATTCATCTTAAATCTGACAAATTATCCAAATGTAAAAGCCTCCTAGCTAATAAGTTTCTTTCAAGTGTTATCTATGATAGTCGAGAATAACCTTTTTATTTTATTATTACACCAACTTCTACCATGCAATCAACTGTTTTTTATTGCTAAAATAATATTGCATATCAATTCTATTTTTCTAGAAAAACGATCAAAACAAACACTTACCTTCATTTCAGTAAAATTTTAGAAAAAAGTAAAAGCTGAAACAAACGCACCCATTTTGTCACTAATCATACATGTGAGCTTTAGACCACCTTGTGCCTAGTTTTGAATCTACTTATAATAATGCCTCCTGCTGTTCTTAGGTTATGGCTCATAATGCAAGCGTGGTAGCCAAGGAATCTTCACGGGTTTCAAACAGTAGTGTTGATGAGAAACCATACCAGGCACCATTTGCCAGGAACTCTTCTCTTGAAGATCCATGCACTAGAAACTCGGAGTATGGGAAAGCACCACCAACTGTCTTACTACAGCCACCAACAACAACTACTGGTACTGAGACATTGAGAGCTCGCGTCTCTGATCCCATGAACCTGAAACTAGAGAAGATCCCTGAAGTTGTTGACAAGTCTGAAGTGAAGGAATCTCCAAAGGGGTTTAGAAGGCTGCTGAAGTTTGCAAGGAAGAGTCATGCTGCTACAAGTGACCGTAACTCTGAAGTAGATAATATGAGCATCAAGAGCTTTGAGGCAGATGATGGTGTTGCAAATGCTGCTGCAACCACATCTAATGAAGGTAAAGAGCCATCATGATAACTTATAACCTTCCTCCTCTGGGTTGTTGTTTGTGGTTGTATCCTCCTTATGGCCAGACCATCACCAGCATGTCACCCAACCCAACAACTAATCTTATTGATAGGTGTAATCATGCATAATTTGTGATTGGTTGTTTTTATGACAATAGTTCTAGCTGACATCCTGACTTTCCGGTTATTTATCAGCTCATAATACTTTGAAAAATCTCATCTCCCAAGATGAAACCCCTACTGCTGCAACTACTCTTCAAAAATGTAAGCTTCTCTCTCCCCACTACCTACTTGCAGTCGAACATACTCTTTGCGTACCATATATCCTGACTGAAAATGATTGCAGCTTCTCGCCATTTCTCCTTACTGTCACCATTCCGGAGCAAGACTAGCGAAAAGAAGCTACCTGCTTGACAGACACGAAGGCTTCCAAGGTTAGAAAAGCCACTTGATTTTGTTGTTGTGGGAGCTGGTTGGGGTCGTGAGTTGTTAATATTTTGTGTAAACTATTCAATTTACCCGAGTTTCGATCAGGAGAGGTAGTTAAACCCATCCCTCACCTTGTTGTATCTTTGTACATTCTCATTCAAGTTCCAGCTCCAGTTAAATGGTCAAATGACTCAAATCAGCTTGTAGCTTTTTTTCATGTCTGTCACTGGCTTGTTCTGGACATTAGCAACAGTTACAAGCGAGTGAAAGAACTCTTAATTCGTAGAAAGAAAGAAAAAAAAAACACTACTTATACTGATTTGGATGAAATTGTTTTCGTTTCTTGGCATAAAACAGCTTTCACCTGCAACTCTTGGGTAAATATAATCGCATACAAATGTTAGTGGACGACAAAATAGAAATGCCTCAACTCTCTGTTTGTATCGACATGGCATCAGGGTACATAGATCTCAATGCATACTTCTCAATCTGAAAGTACAAGAAGCCTTTTAGCTGCATTCAGCTAAATATTCCCTCGTTTTACGGAGATTCCAATCAACCTCTGAAACTAGAATCAGCCTCTCTAAACATTATAGAAAAGGGAAGAAAAAAAAAATATCAGGCATCCCACCATTTCTAGGATGAACTACTACAGATTAGAAAATAATCGTGGTGCTGCTAAAACTTTGCAAGCTGCTGTTATGCGATATAAGCAGGCATTGGCACTAGTCGAAGCGAATAACCAGGCAAGAAATGCAGCTTTTGCTCATCCTAGTTAAAGCCTCCATTGTCAAACATTCAGCAGCTTCTTGTGGGTTCTCCATATGCCGAATCAGACTCACAGCTTCTTGTTTCTTCATCACCTGCACCAAAACATCACCATTTATTAGGAAACTTAGAGAAACAAATCATGGCTAGTTCAGAAGACTTTTTTTAGTATCCTTCTTGTCTGTACAGTATGCTTTACTTTACCTCCCATATGCCATTGCTTCCTATGATTACAAACTCAGTATCCGAGTCAATCTTCTGAACCCGGATACCGAGTTCTGAAGAACCCTTCACCTTCTTATGTTCAGATCCACTGTTCCATCCTGGCAAGCCAAAATTTCCTTTATCTCCGATCTAAATTAATAAACCAAAGTCAACTATCATGACAAAAGCAATAAAATTGCACATTACCTGAGAAAAGTCGGCGAGTCCAGTGCCTTCTTGACGAGCTGTGCTTATCACCAGAGTCATGAGCCACGCCATCTCTGCAAACCACAGCTCTGTAGTCACCCATGCTGGCAACAAGAAGCTTTTCTGCATTGATCACCATTGCTGACGCCGACCCAATTCTCAGAATCTCGTCTGGCTTCAATCCCTCTCTGATTTTCGCTTTTGCACTAAGATATGCTTTTCTGATTGCCTCTTTACTCTTTCTCCTCACCTGTGACTGCAAAAACACATACCCGAGAAAGAGAGGCCAGTGAGAAACAAACCAGACTGCAACATGATCAAAGCTAAAATGTTTTGGTTTTGGTTTGGATTCTTTTACCTCTTTGGTGAGCTTATCAAAGAGATGGGATTGCAAATGCTTTGTGATTCTATCACCAGTTTGAGTATCAAACACCCCAAAGAACCACAAGTCAATCTCCTCAACCTGCTCTCTCTGCACAACAACAGAATCACATGGTGCTGATGTTGCTGCTTCTCTGCCAATTCTGGAAGGCTGGTCTTCAACAACATGGTAGCCATGGGAGATTGGTCTCATCCATGAAGGTTTCTTTCCAGATCCAATTCCCCTTCTCTTCTTCCTGTGGCCTATGAGCAATCGCCTTAGCCTGAGTGCCTACATTTTCAGCCAAGAAACAAAACAGTTCATGAGCCAGCAAGTTGCAGAATGCTTGCTTGTATTACACACCATATTGCAAAGTCGTTTCTCTTGAGATGGGTGCAATAGTTTTGAAACCAAAGATGAAAGCTTTAAGGGCAAACCTTGAGCTTGAGATGGAGATCCTTGAGCCCCATGGTTTCTGAGAGATTCCCTCCTGCAGAATCAAGAAGTGGGCTTTTTTTCAAAGAGAGCAAAAGCAGACTCTTTTTGGCAAACGACTGAATCAATAGGGAGAAAGTAGGAAAAGAGAAAGGGTGGTGGTGGGGATAAAGAAAGGGAGAGGTTATATTGCTTAGGCAAGACAAAAGAGGAAAAAGCTTCAATTTTTTTTAGCAGCAAGGAAGGAGTTTGAGGTCAAATCGAACTCTTGGAGAGAAGAAAAGGGTCCTTTCAACTTTTGTGTGTTTTCCTTAAACATGGTTGGTTTGGGCAATTTATTTAATTTGGTTGGGAGGGTCAAATTCAATGAAAGATTAATGAGGAAATTTATTAGCTTTGATTGAAAATATGGTGAGAAGAATAACCAGTCCACGTAACAGTCGTTACCTTTCCTTGTGTCATTTTTTATGCAAACAAGGTTAATATTCCCCTTTGCCTTTTTTGCCAATTTTGCTGCCGAAGTGGTTGACTGCGGATTTCGATAATCAACCCACTAGTGTATAGCTGATTTTACCATGAGATTTTCTTTAGTTACTAATGCTTATCAGATTAGTTTTATTTTTCTTTTTGGTGAAATGATCAGATTACTTATTCATGTAAAATATCAGATTAACAACTTACCGAACATTTGACAATAAGAAAAATATCTTAGAAGTTCATATAATCATAGCTCAAGAGTCGTAAAGTTTTTTATCTATTGAAATTGTTGATATAGATGATCGAGTTCGTAGATATGTTGATCCCCCATTTGATATTGTCTAACTAGTTTCTGTCAACCAGAGCGAAATAAGAAGGAACAACATGCGATTTACGTGGTATCCTCGACGATGATGTCGAGACTAATCCACGGAGAGGAACAACCTCTCAGAGTCAATCGTATAATCAGCCGATAGAATACTAAGGTTACAAGAGAGGCGGCCTTCCGCTTATGTACACAGCCACCGAACCCTAACTACGGCTTAAACGTAATTAAGCTAAACAATGGGGCAGGTCGTGCGGGTACCTCAACTCAATACCCATGTCCCGCCCCATGCCACTACGGGTCGGGAAGGATAATACTCTCGCGGGGCGGGTCGACCCACTCTTATATGTTATTTGAAAAAAATATACACAAAATTTTACTTTTTACGATAAAATGAAGGGAAAATCCCTTTATGAATGAAAAATTCTTTAAAAAATGAAAAGTGACTACGCTTTATTCACCACTGTTTCAATACTTGTCGTTTTCCTCAAGGTCCATTGCTCCGTAGTTTCGTTGGGCTGCCTGGGCCTGGTTGGAAATGGACTCTGCTGCTGCCCCCTTGCTTCGTAGTTTCGTTGGGCTGCCTGGGCCTGCTTGGAAACAGACTCCGGTGTTGCCCCCTTTACTCGACACAGTACTGTCGTACACAAAAGGACCTGCAGCAAACTGTGCAGCTAAGCATGTGCTTTTCGTCTTCCCGTCGCCTCACCATGCTTCTTTCCCTTCGCCGCTCAAACACGCATAACCCACGATGCCTCTGCTCAACAAGCCAGAGACAAGGCGTTGTTCTTCGATTGCCGGAAAAGCAGTTTAGTGCACCCCTTGCTGTTCGGTTCTTCGTTGCCCATCTTTCTCCCGTTACCGCTGTTCTTGCACACCCTCTTTCTGCTAATTCGCTTCAATGAAGCACATCGTTCTCTCTAGCCTCACATGGACAGACAAAGAGCCACTTCTCAAATTGCGGCTCCTCCATACATGGACGGCGGGGAACCCGGCGCGACTAGATGGGTTCTTCGAACACGCTACGCTCTGGACAGACGATTGGTAGGTTGCATCCTCCTGCTTCATCCTTCACGACTTTGTCGTCTGCTTGGGGTTACGAATTTAAAATTCCATTCGCAGGGCGTACTGATCCAGGGTCTTGCACTGAAGCACCTGAATGGTCATCTGCAAGAGGTTCTGTTGGTGGAAGGGTGTACTTTGTCAGCCGGTTTATACAGCGTGAATCCAGAAGGCGTTGGTCGGCATGTGCCAATGAACGACTCCTGTATTTCAATTCAAAGACGTCGTTTGTGCACTCTCCTGAAGACGAACCCACCTTCTGTCCTGATAGTTTTTCGTAGCTTTGAGGAGCTCGAAACTATTGCCTCACAGCATGCCTCTGTTGTGGGTATGTTTCTTCTTCTTACCTCTTCTGTTATGATCATTGCCGCTCTGCCTGCCTAACAAAATTAACGGGCTTCGTAGATGTTGTTGGGAGGCTGGTATCCGCAACTCCTATAACCTATTATCAGAAACAAGACCGTTCCATTAAGCGTCAAGTTGTGGTAATTGAAAATGAAAGGTACTCTGCACTCCCCTCTTCCAACTTTGCCTTGCTTTGTTCTCCCTAATTCATGTTTCTGACTTACAAGTATGCCCCTGTTGGTTTCAGGGAAGTCTCTTTATCAATCACTTTATGGTCGAACTTTGCCGAAAGACTGAACCTCCCTGAACTCATTGAGCTCAATGGCGCAGCACCTGTGATTGTGGCATTCACCAGTATGAGCCTCTCTATTTGACGCGATACGTTCATTTGCCTATAAACCCTCCTGGGTGTTTTCTTGGTATGCCTCAACTAAACTGCAACGATGTTTTATGTGTTGTGGAAGCCCTTTGTAGCCTACTCGAAAACTTACAATATGCATGTTGTACTCAACTGCTTTTACCTGCTCTTGCCCCTATTCACCCTTTTGGCGTGAACAGCCTCACTTACTGGGACTTTTAATTCCTCCAAGTCTTGCCTAACTCTGTCTGGTCATACTCGGTGCCACCTTCAAGATAGTTTCGATTGACTTTAGGCCTATTCACCCTTCCACTGCTCAACGTTACATTTGACTTTAGCCGGTCTCATTTGGTGTAGGAATTGTCGGAGCATCTAGCACTTCTGCTACTCGCATTGTCCTGTCACCAGCAGCCCGAAACACTGCTAGGCTCACTGCGCAGTACGTACACGCGTTTTTCCTTAATCCAACTGTTGATTCTTTGTACCCTGACATGGTTGTTTACGATAATGCAGCTTCGGAGATGCTGTTGCCGCCATTGGCGTTGTGCCAACTGAATTGGACACCCCTGAAAAGGCCGCAACTGTTTACCGACAATCGTTCAAAACAATTACGGAGCTGCAGACTATCCAGTCAACTGCTACAATGGTCACTATTGTTCCGCTTAAACCTCTTAGTATGGCCACCGTCCAGCGTGTCGTGCCTCCAGATTAATATTACACTTCTCTTTTTGCTGTGTGTTTCAGGGGGGCAAGTTTCGGTGCAGGGGCAAGATTACTGACTTGGATACATCTCGTGATTGGTGCTACCTCGGGTGTGCAACCTGCTCTAAGGCTGCTGTTCGATGTGATGCACCTTACTGGTGTGCAAAGTGCGATGCGACGGTTCATCCGCACCAACTAAAACAATGGTAATTTCACGTGCTTAAACCTATCATTGCTCCACGCACTAAAATTGTATCCAGATTGTTACTTTTTAGTTTTATGCATTGCATGTTTTGTGCCACATGACCGCAATTTACATTAACCATGTCCTACCCCAACCTAGCCATTACTACTTCACCTGCCTACTACAATGTCATCCTTTTTAAGCTTAATCGTCCTATGATCCACTACACCATTTTTACTCCATAACCGTTGTTTTGCCTACTTTGCAGTTTTCGCGTGAGATTCATGGTCCATGAAGGTTCCGCCTATGCCCCTTTTATAATGATTGGTCAGGCTGCAGAAACCGTCCTCAAGGTTTCAGCTGGCACGCTCCTTGCTACTGCACCCGATAGGACAAGCTTCAGACCCGATAGATGATTTTTTTCATATCGGCTGTTGAGAAGGAAGAAAAATACAACTCCATGGAAAGCAAGTTGCATGGACCGCGGTTCCAGTGAACCGAACGGACCACTATCACCAGCATGACAGCAGCTACCCCTCTTAGGTCTGTAGGGTGCTGATGATTTGCATTTACCTTGATAGTATTGTCATCTTCTGAACTACTTTTGGTCCATTTCGGCTCATTACAAACAGGAATACCCATCTGGATTTCGCTAATTCTGCCACCCCGCTTCTGTGTTCGCCTGCAAAGCCCTTATATATCGATGGTCAAAGGTATGTCATACACTGTTCGATTCTTCTCTTTCCCTGGAAATTCATTCTATATGTACCAACCATGCTTTCACTTTATCGCTTCGCCACTTACAGTTTTGCTGAGGCTGCTATTGTGGAAACGCGAGAATTTAGGGCTCCGAGACCACCACAAACCCTAGACATTAGGAAAGTGCATCTGCTTTGCCAACTAAAAACAACTGCATCTTTCTACATAATAATCTTTCTTGCCATGTTTTTTTTAACAGCACACACGCTGACCCATCACCGCCTATAGCTCTGGACTCAACCTGCATGGGTGCATTCGTGCCTGCAACGCCCGCAAAGCCAGCTATAATATTCACTACTAATACACTGCCTGGACAGTCTCTCACACCGGCCTCTGCTGGGTATGGCCTCTCTACACTACCAACCAATATATATTATTTGGTGGAGAATTGTAAATGCCTCGCCCTTCATATCGTTTTCGGTCAATCAAGAGTAAGGGTCCATATGCATCAGCCTTCACTAAACATTCTTTACTGTACAGTGTCTTCATGTTAGTACTGAGGAGCATGTAACCATCAGCCTTCACCAAACATTCTTTGGTGTACTGGGCACACCTCTTACATTACATACTTTTTTGTTAATCTTTACTATCCCACACCTACTTTTCCTGCAGTTTGGCCTCTCCACTGGCAGGAATTAACATTGCGAACTCTCCTTTCGATGTTAAGGCCAAGGGAAAAGCCATTATGGCCACTAAAACAGGTGCAGGCCAGGTAGACCAAAGGTATTTACTTGCCACCTTCTGTCCAGTCTGTTATAATCAGAATGGTGAATATGCTCATTGGTTTGATCTGATGCATAAACTTCCTTCCGTTAACAGCGTAGCTGAACCCATTGTTGTTGTTTCCACCGAGTTCAAGGCCACCACATCCCAAAAGGACAAGATTATCGGTGTTGCCGTGGAGAAAAACATCCCTCCTTCCATGCTGCCAGTAAACCCGTAAGTCCGTTCTATGACTAGCCGCGTGAACAGACTACCTGCCATTACAATTACAAGTGTTCTCTTCCAACTAACCACAACAACCTTCTTTACTTTTCCCCAGCCTACACCAGCCCCTTGCAAAGATTAAGGTGGAAAAGTTAGAAGTTGCAGCCAAGAACAGGAAGAAGAAAAAACTAGAGGATGATGACCTGCCCATATCCCACCTCAAGGCAAAGGTGACTAAACGTAAGGCCGTCGGCAAGAAACTTTTCTGAATCTGGAAGTGTGCTGCTTTTGTGTGCTTTGGAACTGCCGTCCAGACCTATTTTGTGTTGCATGCCACCGGTTCTTCAGTGATGTTTGTTTGACAGTAGCAGACTGTTAGTTCTTTTTATGTTAGCGAATCGGTGCAAACACTCTTTTTGCCAAATGCTTAGCCATTTCAAAGGCTCCTCCCGTGTGACGATCCCAAAAATGTGTGAACAATCACTCCTGTGTAACTCATTAGTATGTATGTTATTCTCACAACAAAATCCATGGCCTTTTTCGTATGCTGGTTCTTCTGTGTTCTGCTCTTTGACAGTGTCTGTCGCTTAGTTTCGATCAGCCAAGCCCTACAACCAAACGTCATGAGGAACATAAACCCTGCCCTGCCTCAGTTAAAAAGAAATGGTCGAACCATGACCTTCGACTTCACTGGAGAATTGCAGCAATCCAAATTGCAGGTCCTATGTTTGGTATCAGTTGGGGTCCTACACAGAAGAAACTCTTTTATATTACAGCCCTGTAAAAAAACAAGCTGTATGTTCAGTGTTGTACTTTTAAAAGAGTGGGGGGTTTGCATACATCTGATAGAAAAATGACTTTTGATTGATTAGATTAGGTAATACACACCATTCCCTTAAACTCCCACCCCTCTTGCAATCCTTACATGGACTCAATCTTTTAACCTCTTTCCTGCAATTCAACTCCCAAATTTCCACAAAGGTTCAATGGAATTGTTTCTTTTGCTGCAGATTTGAAAAGTTCCTCCAAGGTTCAAATTCTCTCTTCCTCTTGGTCAACACCAGATTTCCTCTGCCACAGGTTTGAGATCCCTCATCAACGATTCTCTTGCCTTTCTACAGGCATGCCATTAGTCTATTTCAAGCTTTCTCTTGCATGGTTTTCTTATTCTACCTGTGAAGGAAAGGCATGTTTCATATATGTTTACCTTCAATTGTTGTTCAAGGGGTTAGTTCCCAATTTACCAAGCTCAAATATACTTGTTGCAGCACCATCTGTCGACTACAATTACCATTTGCTAATTTACTTTGTAAATGCACTTAACCCTGCCATCTTTTAACTTCTCGCCACACGCATGTGCTCTTACGTTATAAGAAAGCGCATCACGATTCGTATGACAGGTCCACAGTTTTTATGACGTAACTTGTCTGATCTTATACGTATAGACCTGATCACGTTTTGTTATCTGTCTCCAGGTCTCTGTTTGTCTGATTCAATGTCCAACCGGACTAGGTGTCAGCTTCTCAATTCATCTCCACTGAAGCACGATGTTGCTTCCGCTTTGCAAACCCCCCCCCCCCCCCACACGAAAAACTTATGTTACGTCTGCTGTCACAACCGGGACGCAAACACCATGCATTACTGATCGAAGGGGAAGGAAACCCAGGTTTACTCCAGATCATTTCCGGTCCATGCCCGACCAACAACAGGCAAATGCAACCCACATCTCCATGTCTTGCGATGATGTATGCATTGCCAGCCCTCCATCTATCAGTAGTAGAAAACGCAAGGGGTCCCAAACACGGGCCAGTGGACCTGAACAACAGAAGCATAACAGGGAACTGCAGTCTGGAAACACAGACACCATTACCAGCCACAAACAAACCAGCCAAGGCCAGTCTTGCATAGCTTCAACGTCTTCTACAGTAGCACCGCGTTCACCACAACAATGCAGGGATACCACCTCTTCCACACTGTCAGCGGTTTCCCCTCAGACTCAGAAGGACTACACAGCAGATCGGTTCACAAGTTTTGCAGCTGATGATGTTTTGGATTTTGGGCTCCCGGAGTTTGTATGCCCGTACTGTGGAGCAATGTTTTGGTACGCTGAACGTTTGGACCGCCACCGGAACACAACCATGCCAATATTTTCTCTTTGTTGTAACCACGGAAAAGTTTCTCTTCCTTTGTTACAACAGACCCCGACATATCTTGATAGGCTACTCGATGTTAATGGCGGTTCAGAAGCAAAACATTTTCGCAAGGAAGTCCGCCCCTATAATGGTATATGTTTTCTATGAGTTCAATTGGTGCCAAGCTTGATCGACGCGTGACTAACTCTTCGGGTCCATACTCATTCGTCATCTCTGGAGCAAATTACCACCACATGGGTTCTTTGCTACCTCTAGAAGGGAAGAAGGCTAAGTTCTCACAACTCTATGTATTTGACACAGATAATTAAGTTGCAGATCGTTTGTCAAAATTTTCATCCACTGGCTTGGCTCTATGACCCCATATTGTTGATGGGCTCATAAGGATGTTCAATCAAACGAATGAGTTGGTGAAAAGTTTCCGGCGGGTGGCTAGGGAAGTTCAGGATCCAGCCAATCACAACCTTCGGCTTAGAATAACAGGGAACCGGGAAAAAAACAATCGACAGTATGATCTACCCACTGGTTCTGATGTGGCTGGCCTTATACCCGGTGATTTCAATGGCGAGGATGGTGACAGGGATATAATTATAAATCATCGGGAGGAGGGCCTTAAGCGGATTAACAACCTCAATCCCAAATTCCACACTTTACAGTTTCCTGTTCTTTTCCCCTATGGTGAAGATGGTTTCCACTTGGGAATACAGTGTGATCCGGTTCACAGTTCACCAACTGCAAAGAGAAAGAATGTGACAGAGCGAGAGCTTCATGCATTTCGCTTGCAACATCGTCAAACAGAAGGTCAGAGTTTAATGCGCGGTGGGAAAGCATTGCAGCACTATTGTGTTGATGCATTTGCAACTATTGAACAGAATCGCCTTAAGTTTTTTCGGGCAAATCAGAAACTGCTTAGGGCTGAACTATACAAGGGTCTTTGTGATGCTTACAGTAAGGAGACACAAGTAGAAAAGATGTCGGGAAAATTCTACCGGCAACCTATACTGGTGGACCACGATACATGAAGCACCAGTATCTTGACGCAATGGCCATCTGTCAACGTATTGGAAATCCAGACCTGTTTATAACGTTCACATGTAATGCACAGTGGCCAGAAATAACCAAGGCCTTTCAGGAGGTTGTCGGTACAAAGCCTGAAGATAAACCAGACATAGTTGTTCGAGTCTTTCGTATGAAAGTTGTTGCTTTGAAGGAACAAATTCACCGATATCAGTTCTTTGGAAAGTCTGTTGCAGGTAATTACTAGAAACCTTATCTTCCAATCCTATACTGCAGTTTCCTTAGCCACGCATCTGGACCTACATATTCTTCTTAAGCACTTTCTCCATTAGAGTACACAAATGCGTAACCAACCAAATATGTCGTCTACAACATGTTAAAAGCAATAACTTTTGTTCTGTTTTTTTTACTATGCTTGCTGTCTTATGAGAACCCAAAGCCTTAATGCCATTTTTTGCTCCTAACAACATATATACACACAATCGAATTCCAGAAAAGAGGCTTGCCACATGTGCACTTGCTGGTATGGCTTGACCAGAATGCAAAGCTGAAAACTACTGAGG